GTTAGATAGATAAAGTCATATATATATATATATATATATATATATAATTTATATATACAAACTGATATAGCTCTATAAAAATTTACATCTACAAAATATATGCAAAGTCATGAACTTTCATACTAGTTACATGTAACACTCAGATTGTATACAATTTGTATACATAAACTTAAATCATAGAACTGGTTTATCACAGTCATTCCCATGACAATCCCCTTGGTCACCTGGAAGAATGTAATGGTATATTTTCTATGGCTGGATCTGAGTTAACTGTCAAAATTCAATTAGCCTACAGTTCTTTATTCATAAAGATTTATTTTTTACCAAGAAAATTTCAGTCTAAAAGCTTATAGTTTTCCAATTAAGGATGCTAAACCATAAAGAGAAATGGACTTTGTGCCCCCATCTTGTTATGATTGGGCTCATGTTAATTCTGATGAAAATCTTTATAAATTGTATATTATAATAAATATTGCTTTAAAAATGAACAATTCTATATTATCCATTTCAATATAATAGGAAACCAATCTTAACCTGGATGCCAAAACAGTAATGAGAAGATGAAAAGATGAAATATATATTTTAATTAAACACATCAATATTATACACTAAATAAATATATAGTTATCAGTAATTATTTATTTAGTAATTCAATAATTAACCTGAGAATTCTGTGGTCTTTCTATAACTTAAATGTGTAATAGAAAAAATAATATATAGATGCATACACATATTTTTTATGCTTGGATCTGTGGTCTTTGGTAGTTTGTGTAGATCAAACATTGCTTATTATGCAGTAGACATTCTGGCTGATGCATTTAATGCTTTAATTTTACTTATGTTTATGTTAATTTCAGGACAATAACAACTTTTCCTGGGGTAAAGTCTAATATTTACAAGTGTCTTATTCATTAAATTAATGAACTATATAATGTGGATACAACTATTTGTTTTATATGGTAATTATTGTGCAAATAATGTATTATTGACTTTTAACTGAATCAAAATCCTTATAGCTAGCAACAGTCAATATAAACATGCTTGGTAGGTATTTTATTAAAACAGAATTACTTTAAAATATTTTACTTATTTCTAAGAAATTTTCTTAGAACAGTTATTAATGTCCTATTTTCTACATTTGAACTTGTTTACCTTATGAGCAGTTCTCTTTCTCTTAGTATATTGAAAAAGAAACAAAAGAGGCAAACTCTTCCTTATCTTTCCTATATTTCCTTGCATTTTCTTATATTTCCTGTAAACTTCATCCAATGTTGTGTATGAAGTACTTTCATTCAAGCTGTTCTCATTTTCATTACAAATATATCATACAGAAGAAAGAGATAAAGTGGGAGACGCACGCATGAACATTTTGTCTAATGTGAATTAACCACATCACTTAATTGATTTGATCTCATAATGTATTATTTAGAACATCTTGTTAGATGGTTTTGTCATTTAATATTCAAGTAATGGAAACCATCAGCATTTTTCTGTAGATTATTTTAACAGATGGAGATCCTCTGCAGATATCCTTGACTGTGGTAGATGGTAGCTTTATAACTATAGGGAAAAGATTTTGCAAATAAAGTCTTTTGCCTTTATAGGACTGCAGACACAGCTCTTTTCACGTGTTGGGTATTATTTGCACTTCCCTGTGTTTGTGGACAGTTTTCTAGGTTATCTGGGTTTTCTGGGTTATGGACATTTTAGGCCAAACACAGGCATCAAAAACAAATTCCCCATCAAGAGGGAGAATGACAAAGAAAGACCTAAAGTCACCACATAAGATTAAGGCTTGGTTCTCTCACCCAGTGGCTGAATGATCTTAGAAAAGTTTTTAACTTTTAAAAACTTTACTTCTATCATTAACCTTTCTTAATAATATGATTTGCTACTTTATTTCTAAAATTGAGAAAATACTATATAATCATTATGAAAGTAAGAGGGGGAAATGCGAATCACTTGACATAGTACATGACACACAGCAATTTACTAGTCAATATCATTGTCACCATTATCTTATCATATTTGCAGGAAGTTCTGATGTCTCAGGAACCATCTATTTTGCAACAATAAAACAGTAAATTGTTTACACATGTCTGATACGAATGCATGTGCCACTCAGTTTTCTTTTTTTTTTTTCATCTCTAACGGATTTAGAGAAGGAAATGGATACTTAACAGTGTCACATATGCATATGTGTACACACACAAAGCCAAAACAAATTATGATTAGTAAATTTTAAGAAATTATTCTGTGCATTTTTAAGCAATGAGAAATTGGAGCTCATGAAATTCATCTGAAGGAAGTTTTCGGTTTTTGTTTTGTTTTCAGAATAATCACGTAATAAGCATGAAATAGAGCTAGTTGTGCAGATTCTCTTATAAGTTATTTATGTATAAAATATGTGTGTATATTTTACTTCTACATTGAAAAGTATCATTTCAGCTTGTAATGTTACATCACATTTGTAGTTTAATTGCATCACGTGAGAAATTTTCTTGCAGAAAGAGCATTGGCTTCTAAAAAAACGGCTTTTCTGTTTATAAATGTATGCTGTCTTTTCCTCTGAAGGATGTAATTCAAAATGACAACACACTAAAAAGGGCTTGACACAATGGCATGTGAAATTGCAAGGGGATTAATTTTTTATTTATGCAAAAATGTGAAAACCCTCTCCTTTCTCATGATTCAAAAATCTCTCACCTCTTACACTTTCAGACTATAGTTCAAAATACATGTAATACAAGTAGAGAATAATTTGATCATGGTGAACTGCTCAATATGTTTCTTTTGCCCTCTCATTTCTCTGTTTATGAATGGTGACAACTCCACATACGTCAGGTGACTTTTTTTGCAGGTGTTCTAAAAAGTAGGGTTTTAGAGTGGCAGGTAGAAGAAAAGAATAACTTTTCATTTTAATGCTATGTTAAACTAGAAGGAATTTGAACTTCAGAGCAAAAAAAAAAAAATACTTCAGTTTGTTGATCTGAAGCAAGTTATTCAACCTCTCTAAGCCTCAGTTTTCTTAATGGTAAAATGTGGAAAATAAAGAACTCAGACTGTTGTGGTAAATAGGGAATAAGACAATGATAAAGTTGCTGACAGAGCATGTAAATGTCCCAGAAATTCCACTGAGCTTATCCCCCACATTCCTTCCTGGTGGTTCTCATTTAGTTACCCTCACTCTTACTATTCAACTGTGAATAAATCCCAAACAAGACTATTGCTTTATCTAGATTCTGCTTTCACTAGGTAAGTAAGATCTAGAAGTTATCTTCCTGACTCAGCAGGACCTGAGCACACCATCTTGTCTTCCTAAGTATAATCTAGCCTCATTCTCATGGAAATATTTTCATTTCCCTGTACAGCAGACTATCTGTCTGGATCTCTGCCCAATTTTTACCAACCACTCTTCATCTATACCAACAGAAATTGTATCTTTCCTCTGGCTGGGTTTTATATCCTTCATCTGAAAAGCCTCACTATCATCCTTGTGACTAAGAATATTGACACTATGTAGTAGTATCTCTGCTATTTCCTATATCCTAGACTAATGTATTTTGTATGCGCAAAATGCAAAACAGGACCCATGTTCACAGTGACATCCTTTATATAAAAGTCGTTTCCCAAACTATCCCCCTCCCCTGGCTATTACAGCTTGTCATACATAAGAAGTAAAAAAATAAAGAAATAAAAGACATAAAAATAAAAATAATAAGTACTTTTTGAGTTGGGAACATATTCTTTATTAATGTCAAATGTTAGAGAATCATATGCATGATTTCTTTTTTCCCTTTTAATATTTATCTTTTATCTGTTTCCTTAATAGCTAAGTAAAGAAGTATGTCCATAAGACTCTTTGTGTTATTAATTATAGCATATTTATATTAGCCATTTTTCACATATATTTCATTGGCTTAAGTATGATGATTTCTAATTGCTCCTCATAACATTTGGCCATTAGACTTTCTGATCACTAAGTAAAATATTTCCATAAGAAAATACATGTTGATGACTTTAAGAGAAAATGATAAAGTAGCAAAATATGAAAAACCATACAGCTAAAGGAATAAAATATCCATTTAGTTAAATATTCTCAGTTTTTTATACTTTAGTAGATGAACTCAAAGTCTCCTACTGAGATCGAAAAAGGAAGATCATTTTGTTTTGGTTCCCTAAACTATTCACGCAAATGAGTATCTAGAGATTTAATCAAGTTCCTTGTGTAACCAGTGACAGAGACTTTCAGTTTCTGTATTCTAATTCCTAGGAACATTGAACTAATCCTTGAAAATGTACCAGAAATCGAGCAGGTACTGATTGGTGTTAAATGTAATACTGCAAAAGAAAACGAGATATAACACAAGTGAGAAGTATTCATTTTCAGTAAGAAGCACAGAGTTACAGAGAAAATATAGGTGTGAACCTTTCTATTATCATAGAAACTGTAACAATTTTCACCTATTGCAAAACTAAAATAAAATAAGACTAAAGTAATGTAAATAGCATCACTGAATTATTATCTGATACTTACATGGAAGTAAATGGAAATGATTCAACACATACAATTGCTAAAGAAAAAGTAGAGAATTCTTATGCTAATTGCATGATAGACCAAATAATATGGGGTCATATGTGTCATAAATATGAGTATTAAATTACAATGGAATTTTCATATTTACTTTACTTTTTCAAATAAAAGTTGGAGCAAGATTCCAACTTATTGTGAATATTTTACTTGACTGCGAATCAATAATATAGGACTCATTGTTCAATTACTGACCTGTATTATTTTATATTAAAGTCATATGGAGCATGATTCTAATGGAAAATGAAGCTCTTAGGTCACTTAAGTTTTATCTCTTGGGTTCTGTTTCCTTAAAACCAAAAATGTCTGAAAAGTTATTACAGTTTCTGTAACATTCAGCGAAATGTAAGAATTTCTTTTTAAGCTGTGCTAATTTAAACTCAACAGAAAAGATTTAAACTCAACGTACTTTTAGGGAATCGAGGTGGGTTGTCATTGACATCTGTGAGGGTGATGTTGACAACTGTCGTTCCAGCCAACCCTCCTAGTTGTCCGCCCATATCCTTGGCTTGGATGAGGACTTGGTATTGTTCTTTGACTTCCCTGTCCATGTTTGGCAAAGCTGTTCTAATAACACCTTAAGGGGAAAAAAATAATAAAAGATAAATATCACAAACATTGTGTTTTCTGAGATCAGATAATCTGCAACAAGAAAATGATAATATCTAGATTCACTAGCAAAGACATGCTATCAAAATTGTGTATCTTTCAAAAAGTGAAACACTCAAAATGTCCAATGCTTAGGATATAATTGAAAATATTATGGTAGCAGCCATATAATGAAATGCTGTGTAGCATTGTGGAGTATGGTCAAAAAACAATGTATCAGCTCTAAAAGACAGTCATCATTCATTAAGTCAACCAGGTCAGACATGATTTATACAAAATGATTCTATCTTTAAAAGGGAATGGACCCCTCAAACTCAACACACACAAAACAGATAATCGCGTCAAAAAACGTGCAGAAGACATGAACAGACACTTCTCCAAAGAAGACATACAAATACTTAATAGACACATGAAAAAATATTCATCATCATTAGCCATCACGGAGATTCAGATCAAAACTACATTGAGATACCACCTTACGCCAGTTAGAAAGGCCAAAATTAACAAGACAGTAAACAACATGTGTTGGAGAGGGTGTGGAGAAAGGGGAACCCTCTTACACTGTTGGTGGGAACGCAATATGATGCAGCCACTTTGGAAAACAGTGTGGAGATTCCTTAAGAAATTAAAAATAGAGCTTCCCTATGACCCTGCAATTGCACTACTGGGTATTTACCCCAAAGATACTGATGTAGTGAAAAGAAGGGCCATCTGTACCCCAATGTTCATAGCAGCAATGGCCACAGTTGCCAAACTGTGGAAAGAACCAAGATGCCCTTCAACGGATGAATGGATAAAGAAGATGTGGTCCATATACACTATGGAGTATTATGCCTCCATCAGAAAGGATGAATACCGAACTTTTGTATCAACATGGACAGGACTGGAGGAGAATATGCTGAGTGAAATAAGTCAAGAAGAGAGAGTTGATTATCATATGGTTTCACTTACTTGTGGAGCATAAGGAATAACACGGAGGACATTGGGAGATGGAGAGAAGTGAGTTGGGGGAAATTGGAAGGGGAGATAAGCCACGAGAGACTATGGACTCTGAGAAACAAACTGAGGGTTTTGGAGGAGAGGGGTGGGGGGATGGGTGAGCCTGGTAGTGGGTATTATGGAGGGCACATATCGCATGGAGCACTGGGTGTGGTGCATAAACAATGAATGCTGGAACACTGAAAAGAAATAAAATTAAAAAGAAGGGAATGGAATTGTTAAACAATATAGAGCAAATATACATTAAAAAATCAGTGGTTACACTGAGTGTGATGTTTCTAAAGAATGCTATTTTCCTCTCTATTCTTTATTTTTATAAAATACATTTATTACTTTACTTTTTAAACACATAACATATCTCCTCCATGTATTTTATTTCATCTCTCAGGATACCTTTTAATTATTTTAGCCACAGAATTTTTCACTTAGATCTCATTAAGCTTTACTACTACAGGGACATTGCCTCTCTCGTCACCAAGTTACTCCAGCCTCTAGGGCAGTGTCTGCATTTAGAAGGAACTCAATAAGAATGTGTCAACCAACTGACTAGTTGAATGACTGACTGACTGACTGACTGACTGAATGAATGAATGAATGAGTATATGTATAATTAAGTTTACAATCATGAATCATCCAGCATATATGCATATTGAAATATCTTACTCATTTTCTGCTCTTGTGTCCAAGTATAGAACTAATTTATATTTATATTTATATTTATATTTATTCATAGTGAAATAACTAAGACCTTCCTGATTTGTTGTAAGTACAATTATGGATAAATTTTGTACCAAATTCCAACCTATAGACAATGGTTTTAGGGAAAGACTGCAGAGCAGTTGTCTTAAACCCATGTACCTTAGATAGTGTCATTTTTCAAATAAAGTAGCATATATAACTAACAAATATAATATTGAGCACCAACATGAAGTATAACATCCAAATCATAAACTGAATATGCATCCACATTTTATCTATACTTTCCACTATTAACTTGCCAAATGCTGTTCTGTTGTTAATTTAGATTTAACTACAATCTAGGATTTCTTCTGACCGTCGACAGGAAATGGTGGCAGAAAAGACAAGCTCCAGTTTTTTTGCTACTGCTGTTTATTCATGCATTGGTACTGACACTCTATTATTTTCCTCTCTTTAGCTCAGATCCTTGATGTTTCGTTTCCTGGTCTCTTAACTAAGATTCTTCATCTCTGTCATCTTAGTGACTTGGTCACACGGCTTAAGGTACCTGATTTTTGCCTGCCTTAATGTTTATATTTTCTAGATAAATTCCTGGGTTTAATTTATATGCATGCTTTCTTGTTCTTTTGCTGACCAGATCTTTACTCAGTTCATTTCCAATACAAAAATTATATACATGTATATATTGATACTTATATATATTTATATATAATTTTTACTTTATCCAACTCATTTCTTTTTTTAAGATTTTATTTATTTATTTGGAAGAGAGAGGAGAGAATGAGAGAGAGAGCATGGGAGGAGAGAGGTCAGTGGGATAAGCAGACTCCCTGCTGAACAGGGAGCCTGATGAGGGACTCGATCCCAGGACTCCAGGATCATGACCTCAGCCAAAGGCAGTCGCTTAACCAACTGAGCCACCCAGGCACCCCTACCCAATTCATATCTAATATGTAAATGTATAAATATAAATTTTATACTTTATATGATATATATGATATATATTGTATATACATACATTAAGATGCTAAGATAAAGAACACATAGGCATTACCAGACTTATTTAAGATGAGTTTTGTTTTGTTTTGTTTCAGGTAAGTTGTTATAGTTGTTATCACGATATCAAACCACCCTGCCTTCCTGTTCCACCCTGTGTCTGATAGGTGACCTACTTGCTGCTTCTAGCCCTCCTTTACTGTAATACTGCTTGACTGGAAGATATTTGTTAGACTTTGGAGAGAGCAAAGTGTTGCATATGCAGTTCCAAAGAAAACCACTGATGGCCATGATGTGCTTCCCCTCTTCCACCACCATTTCCATTCAAGAGCTACTACCTCAGACAAGTAAAATATGATATTTGTAGATAGTTTTTCAGAGTAGAATCTGGGATGATTTTTCAGAGTAGAACCTGGCAGACTAAGAAATTCAAATGTGAGAACAGAATCTTAAAACACTGTGGTCTATTGAAAAAGCCTGGTGAAAAATAGTCTCCTTTCCAAGAAGTTACTCTTCTTATGGACCACCCACTGTTTACCAACTGCCTAATATTTAAAACCAAACAAACAAAAATGGATTGCATGATCTTGAGCAAGGAGGAATCTTGCCAAGAACTGAGTTTAAAAACTCTAAGAGTAGAATGTAACAAGCAGAAAGAAATGTCACATTCTGCTATTTTGGGTCTTAGGTTTAAGTTCATGTGCTTACCTCTATTTCTTAGTATTTATATATAAAGATACAGCAACAGCCTCGTATGATAATAGCTGAAGCCTAAAATATGCATTTTGCAGGACAGTCCAAATACTCCCCAGTGGTAATACCACAAAATTTAATTAATTAACTATAATTCTGAAGCAAATCTTATTTATAGAAAAAAAAGAGTGGGTAGGCAAGTGTATAATGAATCCTGGTATGATTTGAGTGTCTTGTACCTAACGAACCTTCCAGCATACATAACTGAGATATAGAGTAAATACAGGAAAAAGAAAAATAGCAGAATTTTATTTCTGCCAGAATGAATGGAAATATATGGTTGAGAGAGTTATAAACTTAAAATAATACATCAAAGGACACTAGTCTGCCAAGGGATATATTCTGCCTCTGCAATGACCCTTATGTTGTATCAAGCCTCCTAGTCTTGGTGGATCTCAGCTTATTTTGCAAATATGGGTTAAATACTCTGATAACATTTTAAGATGAGAATAATGCAATATTCTCTATGGAAAATCATAAAATATTACATGTGTGGAAAACCCAAAAGATTCCACTCCGAAACTGCTAGAACTTGTACAAAATTTAGTAAAGTGTCAGGATATAAAATCAATGCACAGAAATCAGTTGCATTTCTCTACACCAAGACAAGACAGAAGAAAGAGAAATTAAGGAGTCCATCCCATTTACAGTTGCACCCAAAACTATAAGATACCTAGGAATAAACCTAACCAAAGAGGCTAAGAATCTATACTCAGAAAACTATAAAGTACTCATGAAAGAAATTGAGGAAGACACAAAGAAATGGAAAAATGTTCCATGCTCCTGGATTGGAAGAATAAATATTATGAAAATGTCTATGCTACCTAAAGCAATCTACACATTTAATGCAATTACTATCAAAATCCCATCCATTTTTTTAAAAGAAATGGAACAAATAATCCTAAAATTTATATGGAACCAGAAAAGACCTCAAATAGCCAAAGGAATATTGAAAAAGAAAGCCAAAGTTGGTGGCATCACAATTCCAGACTTCAAGCTCTATTACAAAGCTGTCATCATCAAGACAGCATGGTACTGGCACAAAAACAGACACATAGATCAATGGAACAGAATAGAGAACCCAGAAATAGACCCTCAACTCTATGGTCAACTAATCTTTGACAAAGCAGGAAAGAATGTCCAATGGAAAAAAGACAGCCTCTTCAATAAATGGTGTTGGGAAAATTGGACAGCCACATACAGAAAAATGAAATTGGACCATTTCCTTACACCACACACGAGAATAGACTCAAAATGGTTGAAGGATCTCAATGTGAGAAAGGAACCCATCAAAATCCTTGAGGAGAACACAGGCAGCAACCTCTTTGACCTCAGCTGTAGCAACATCATCCTAGGAACATCGCGAAAGGCAAGGGAAGCAAGGGCAAAAATGAACTGTTGGGATTTCATCAAGATCAAAAGTGTTTGCACAGCAAAGGAAACAGTTAACAAAACCAAAAGACAACTGACAGAATGGGAGAAGATATTTGCAAACGACACCTCAGATAAAGGACTAGTGTC